CCGGCGCCTCAGTTGGCGGCCGGAGGAGGAACTGCAGCCACAGCGCCGGCGTTCCACCTGGTGGTCGGAGACAGCACTACAGTCGCTGCGCTGGCGCCCCATCTGGCGGCCGGACGTGGTACTGCAGCGACTGAGCCGTTACTCCACCTGACGGCGGGAGGTGGGACTGTAACAACTGCGCTGGCGCTCCACCTGGTGGCCTGAGGTGGATCTTCAGGAACTCAGACAAGATCCTTATCGCTGTTACATGTGTAGAGAGGACAATCCAAAAGTTTATGGGAGGGCACAAAAGTTGGCAGCGTTGTAAATTGTGAAAAGAACAAGTTGCTGCAGTGCGTGATTAGGTGGGAGTTGAAAGTTGGAGAAGTGTGAAATGATGCATTTTGGCACAAAGAATATTCTTAAAGGGGGTGCAGGAGCAGAGAATCTATACATATGTCAATAAGGGTGCCAGGTCGGAGATATGAGTTAATAACAAAACAGACAAGCTTTATTATTAATGGTGTAGAGTATAAGAACAAGGAGGTTATGCTGAATTTAGAACAAAACACCAGTCAGCCCTCAGCTGGAATACTGTATACAGTTCTGGGCATTACATTAGAAAAAGCATTATGGGGAGTGATGGTGGTATTTTTGCTGGATAGTTAATTCAGAGACCCAGGAAATGCTCTGGGGACCCGGGTTCAAATCCTGCCACAGTAGATTGGAATTCAATAAACATGTGAAATTAAGGACTAAGTAAAAACTAAAAGAACTATGGATGATGTAAATCAGAAACAAAAACAGAAATTGCTGGAAAAGCTCAGTGGGTCAGGAGGAAGGGTCACCACCTTCTCACAGATGCTGCCAGACCTGCTGAGCTTTTCCAGCAATTTCTGTTTTTGGGTCTGGAGTTAAGGGTTTAAAAATGATGACCATGAATCCATTGTCAATTGTTGGAAGAACCCATCAGGCTCACTAATATCCTTTAGGGAAGGAAATCTGCTGTCCTTACCCTGGCTTACATGTGACTCCAGACCCACAGCAATGTGGGTGACTCTTAACTGCCCTCTGGGCAATTAGGGATGGGCAATAAATGCTGCCCTAGCCAGGGACACCCACATCCCATGAATGAATTTTGTTTAAAGAGAATGCATTGGAGAGAGTACTAGAAGGAGGTTTATGGAAATGATTCCAGGGATGAGGAAAGATTGGAGATTTTCCTTGAAGAGAAGAAGGCTAAGAGGAGATTTAATAGAACTTTGCAAAATTGTGAACAGTCTGGACAGAGGGGTTAGGTACAGGCTGCTCCTCCTCATAAATAGGTCGAGAACCAGAGGCCATGGATTAAAGAGGTTCTGCACAAGAAGTAAATGTGAAATGAGAAAAGTTCTTTTACTCAGCAAGTGTGAAATTAAAACAGTGTGCAGGTAACACAACCCAAATGTGGCAGAATCTGTGAACAGAGAAACAAAGTTAATGTTTCAAGCCCCAATATGACTGTCCAGAACTGAAGAAAGCTAGAATTGTAATGAGTTATTTTTAACACTGTTGAGAAAAGGGGGATAGGTCAGCTTGAACTATGAGAAAAGGGATACCTTAGGGGGCAGAAAAGGCTAAATGACATCACCAGAGATCAAAACACAAAGGGAGTGGTAATTATTGTAGTGAAGAAATAATACATTTGTCCAAATTAAGTACAAATGGCAACAGTCCAAAGGTGTGCAGGTTAGGTGGATTGTCCATGGGAAATGCAAGGTGACAGGAATGGGTGGGGTGGGATGCTCTTTGGAGGGTCAGTGTGGACTCACTGGGCAGAATGGTCTGCTTTCACACTATAGGCCTTCTACGATTCAAAGTGGAGAGGTGATGGCCAAGTGCTATTATCACTAGACTATTAAAGTAGAGACCCTGGCATGCAGATTTGAATCACCCATGGTGGAATACAAATTCAGTAAAAATCTGGAATTAGGGGGTTAATGACGACTATAAAACTGTTGATGATTGTCGCCCTTGTCGATTGTCAGAAAATCCCATCTTGTTCACTAATGCCCGTTTAGGGAAGGAAATCTACCATTCATAGCGAAGAAACAGTCAGATGTCAGTTATGTAGAACCCTAAAGAGTTGAAATAGGGATACAACTTCCTTGGAGTGAATCTCTGTAACAAATAATGTCAGGAAACATGTTGAAACTGTGTTTTGCTGTTTTTCAAACTTTGATATATTTAAATAGCCTGTCATATTTAAATAGCTTCATATTTTTGTAATGAATTTCTGTTCAGTTGTTCAAAGAAATCTGCAGTTTTGTGTGAATGTGTTTCAGTGAGTAGCCACCAGTGACTGACTAAACAAAAAAAAATTCATCAAGACAGCGATAATATTCCCAATGCTGATGTTCCAAGCAATAATGTTCCCAGTGCTGATGTTCCAAGCGATAATATTCCCAATGCTGATGTTGCAAGTAGTAATATTCCCAATGCTGATGTTCCAAGCGATAATATTCCCAGTGCTGATGTTGCAAGTAATAATATTCCCAATGC